CTTAACAGATTTTAACTAACAACGCCTCTTTGTCAAAAATGGGGGGGGGGGCTAGCGAAACCATAAGCCAAAATACTGGACAAAGAAGCGAACTTGTAAATGGATGGGTTCTGGTCCTGGGTCTGCACCGAGGCCAAAGATCATCAGCCTCACTGAATTCACAGCCATCGCCTAACTCTTACAATGTTATAAAATGTTATCATTATTATGATCATGACGACAATGGCAAGTATGATTAAGATCATGTTCTATTATCAATTGAAACTCACTTTAATCTAATCTGCACAATTAATGCTTTTAACTGAATTTATTTTTCTATCTTAGAGGTACATCTGCTAGAAGGAGTTATACAAGTTCCATCCATCCATCCTCCACCCGCTAATGCAATACAGTGTCATGGGAGGGGGGGTTTGGGGGTGGACTCCATCCCACATGTCATTAACGTCAGACTATGATCATCAGCTTATATGATATATGTGGGCTATTTGTTATAGACTCAGACTTGTCAGTTTCAATCTGCAGAAGGCTCAACCAACCACCCACCAAAAAAAGAGGATCATTTGCAGAATGTGGCTCTGCTCAACTGATCTTACACATTTTAAAGACAAAGCTGAATGAACACAAACACATAACAGACCTGACCTGCCCACTTCCTTCTTAACCACAAGTAAACGAACAACCTGTCATCTTTTTCATGTTCTGAATGTTTAAGGGCAATTCTAAGCAGAATTAAGATTTAAGCAGAAATGGAGCATTCAAAATAATGGCTTGAATTATATCTTGACAATTATCAATATTGTTTGGTATGGGGGGGAAAAAACATCATAATAAAACATTTTTCGTGTCAACCAGCCTTAGCTGCATGATACACATTTTATAGCATGCCTTGCTAAGTACAGTAATTTCCATCCATCCACCCACCCACCCATTTATCTATCCATCCATCCATCCATCTTGTCTGGGGTCAGGTTGCGAGGCAGCAATCTATGAAGGCAACCCGAATTCACTTCCTTTTATGAATGATCTTCAGACCAAGATTTTAAATGGGATCTCCATTTGACTGATAACCATCCTCTGATATTTTGTAACTATATCCTGTATTATAAAACAAATTACTTCTCAAGCGCAATAAAACTCTGTTCCAGTTCAAGTTTATTTGGCTGCAGGCAAAAACAACAGACTAGATTGATTGCCTTGTATTTCTTGTGCTTAATTATTGTAACACAGAGAAATAAACCGTCATCCATCCATTTATCTATTTATCAGTGGGATGAGATGCTTCTCCACTACAAGGCCTCACACTCACATGCAGCCACACAGTCAAGGCAATTTAGCAAAACCATTTCGCTTAAATGCATGTTTTTAGACTGCTGGAGGAAACTGGAGCACCTCGAAGAATTGGCAAACAAATATATATATGCGATGTGTTGAACTTTTCATAGAATCACTCTGCTGCAGATACTATCACGGCAGGAAGCTGCCAAACAGGGTGGAAGACAGACATAGACTTTGGATGCATGGATACATTCTGCATTCAGTACCAGCTCTACCAAAGGCTGCTGTATGTTCACAGATTAATTGCACAATGCTGCCTGCAATCATTTTTGATACTTATTCTCACAGTAATCATAGAAACATCCTAGACTAAAGAAAAACTTATGGTGGCAATAAAAATTCTGGCAAATCCTTCAGGATCTGACAACGCGGTTATCTATATAATCGGTGTACTAATTACGTACAGAAAAAGTAGATCTCTGTATGCAAACGAAAATCTCCATTGCAAAGTAGTATTTTAAAGAAGCTATGTGTGATTGCCTGATTAGCAATTTCATTTGTTCACCATCAATAACTGCATAAAGAAACTTCTGTATAGTAACATTGTGCCTTTGAAGATGACTTCAGAGAATTCAGGCAGCGAGAGCTGGACTAGGTCAGACAAGTTTTTCCTAGCACTGTTGGGAGGCCCCCCCGGCCAGTCCACTCAAACAGAGCCATTTAAAAGCATGAAAAGCAATTTATGTCATTCCTTAGGCCTTTGTCCCCTTAGTCTTAGGACGGAACACACAGAAACTGTAAAGTCGTCTCCATATACATTCCCAGAGTTAAAAAACAGCCAACGTCCTGCTTTTTTAAAAGGGCCTCCTGGAGAAATAATTGCAGGTCCCTTGCAGTGCCGAGCATAACATCATATATCAGGTGAGTCAGAGGGAAAACACAGACAATAAAGACTATACAGCGAAAAGTGAGGCGCGATCTGACTCACGCTGCACTAATCTCTGCAGGGTCCTGGAGTTTTTGTACCTGAAATGATGACAGTTCAGGTCCCGCCGCCAGCGGCACCGATCGCAGCTGTGCACCATCAACCTCAGACAAGCGATAACGGCTTGAATGGTTTATGTATCACGACAGAAAGTGAAACGCTTCCAGAAAAAAAGCTAAAATGAATCAAGACAGTATATATCAAAACGGCAAACCATTTGCATTAACGACACCAGGCACATTACTAATATGATATTATTAACTGCAAATTTTAATTCACTGATGACTGATTTCTTAATGACAGAAACAAGGCTGCATCTCCCCCCCCCCCATATAAGAGCTGACCTTTAACCTTTTGACAGACAGCAGGTTTCACTCTAATAAAAGGCTGTCAAGTGTCACCTGTTCATCAATAATGATTTTGGTCCTTGTTTGTGATACACTTGTTTTATGTTTTCATGTGTGAGCTTCCCTCCATACACACCACAAGCACTTGTAGGTGGGGCCAGTGAGCTATCTGGGCACTTTTATCTCAGGACCCGGTACCATGACCAGGGCACCAACGACCATCCTCTGTCCAGTCACTTTCAGGTCAAAAAATAGGTCAAAACATTTTTACTGTTATAAATGTTTTTACATTTAACAACTGAAAACGATAAAAATTACCATAGTTTATATTTTAGCAATCTATTTGAGTACAATAACTATTTTTCTGCATTTTTGAGCAGATATTTTCTGAAAAACAAGCCTGATTTCTAATGTTTTTCCAAACTGCGAAATGAATAAACCGGTACTTGTGAACTGTCTAAAGAGATGTGGAAGAACCAGACATTATCGTTATCTTCTCTCTTTCTCTGCCTCACATGCTCTCTCCTTTTCTCTCTCTCTCCCTTTCTCTGACTCTCTCTCTCTCTCTCCTTTTCTCTCTCTCACACACACACACACACACACAAACTCTCACTGTCTTTTCGGGTCTCACTTACCAAAGAGAGGGAAAAGCGAGGATTTCACACCTGGGGAGTGAAAGAATCTGCCCATAAAAAGCTCCAGCAGTACGATCACGCCTCCAAAGGTCACATGCTCTCAGCAGGTCTAATTAATATTACCCTGTTGTATTCAAAGCTGCATTTTTTTTTTATCACTTTCATAGAGAGGATGTGTGTCAACTAAAGGATTGGAGAGGGGTCAAATCTGGCTGATCCTACGAAAATGTTCATAACCTCCACCGAGCACAGATACACATCACCAATGGGCTGGGCTTTCTCTGCCTTGGTTCATCCTGGGAACTGGGAACTTGGGTATGATACACAGTACAGACAGCATGCAGCTGCCCTGTCATAGGCTGCCCTGTCATAGGCTGCCCTGTCATAGGCTGCCCTGTCATAGGCTGCCCTGTCATGCTGCACTTCTGAGCCACAGCAAAAATGACTTAAAGAGGCCCAGCAAAGAGATCCCTAAATCCAAATACATTCCATTAATCACAATATGCTACTATCCTTGAAGGACAACAATTCATGCCAGAGAAAGCAGTGGGTGGGGGGAGGGGGGGGGTAGATGTGGTCAAGCACAAGAGCATTTAAGGTTATGTAAAATGAGGTAAGGGAGACAGCTACTCCTCAGTATTTTTTTATTTCCTTGGACTGTAAAAGACTGGGGGTGGTGAGGGATTTCCACAGCTGCTACTGGGCCGGCTCTTCCCCAGTCCTACTCCAGAGTTCTGGCCTTTCACACACAGGCCCACAAGGACACTTACACAACATGTTCCTAATCTGTTTACATTTATGTAAATGCTAACAACACGCTAAAACGTCAGCAGTAGAAACCACAAGGTACTGCTTTGGTCCTTAAGTTCCATCGACAATTACAAAATCTAATTCCAATAGTTCCAAGTTGAACCTAATAAATCTTCAGTGAGCACATGGACAATGTAACTAATCCCATCCTGCTCTGATCCCATTCTGAACAGCAAATTATGCAACAGGGAGGTGTATAATTGGCAATGTGAACGCATAAACGACGACCCGATCTCAGAGACGCGGCAAAGCCCATGGCACAAAGGCCTTGATAAAAACAATCGGAGGCCTGAAGTAGCTAATTGACTGTCTCAGCACACACTGCTCTGGCTCCCGGGGAGGATTCATGGCACCGCTCTGAAAGGGCACGCAGCAGAGTATTAAAAACAAGGCTGAGAGGCAAATGCTATTCGGGATGGCCATATCGATTCCCATCCTTTCCATGGCTGAGCATCTCTCGAATCTCCTAAGATGAATAGGATCCGCACGGCTGTACAGATAATTGCAGATGCAGATGCACCTTTAGTTGAACGGCTACGTCCTTCAGGAAAGGATTTCTGAAGTGATGGACCATGAAAAACCAACAGCAGGTCTGATGAAAAACATAGCCACCAGAAACCTAACAAAAGAATCAATCACTGTACACAGAATATTACTTTGCTATTTCATTAACCATCCATAGTCTATAATGGCGGTAGTGAGGGGTGAGGTGGGACTGGGTCAGTCCCAGAAGCACAGAAGACAGACCATGGGAAACTGGATAGGATGCCACTGCATGGCAGGACACCTGTCATTGGACTGTGTGAGGAAACCAGACCACCTGTGGAAAAGCTGAGTGACACCAGAAGAGGATGCAAACACCACAGACACGGACCACAGACTAGTTCAATTTTTGCGAAACCACCCATGGCTTTGAGATAAGCCCTACCTGGTTAAGGCGATCCATGTTGAGCAGCAGTAGAAGATCTTCCTCAAACTTCTCCAGGGATGGATACAGCGAGATGGACAGCTTGTCTAGATAGCAGATGAGGCTCTTCAACAACCGGGGCTTCTGTAGAAGATCAGCTGAAATCCAGAGAAGGGCAAAGCATTCGCGTCACTCCAGAAAAAGTCACCCCGACAAATCAAGAAATGAATGCTGCATTTTTTATATATATATATATATATATATATATATATATATATATATATATATATATATATATATATA